TAACTAAACCGATTACTAAGTTTGATGAATTTCCTGTCAGTCATCATCCACCGATGGATAGCTATAAAGAGAGTTTGATTTTGAATCAATAAAACATATTCATTGACCTTCTGAATAACTGAATAAGTTTGCTAATATTTTTGCGGGCCAGAAAATGGTAAGCTGTGTATGACTATACTTACTAGAAATACATTAACATGGAAGATGTTAGTCTTCTCAAGAAGCTGCTTTAAACAAACTTGAACATTATACTAAATTAACAATGCTTATTACTAGGTATATATATATATTTACTTCCTACGATTTTTAGGTAGCTTGCTATGATTCGATAGTAAATATTAATTGCTTTGAGCAAGTGAAGAAAAAAAAAATCATTTATTCTTCCGAAAATATTTTAGTATCTAAAATTATTATGAAGAAACATAAAATATTTATAGGTTTTATGTGGTTCACAGGAAGATTGCAAACTGATCTGAATAATGCATTATTATTAAACTGATTTATACTAAAATGGTTTTGATGCAATTCAGGTGACAAACACAGCCGATATAAAGTCGCTGTAGAACTAAATGTATTAGAATTACAGTTTGACATTGTTTGCCAATTTAGGTACGTAACAGTTTTCCAACGCAAAATATTCATACATTCAGCACATAAGTTGGGTTCAGATCAAATATCTAGAATTTCCAAGATGGAGATATCTCTTGTATTTAATGGGATTGAAAATCAATGGAATAGAAATAAACTGGGGCACCAGTACGACCCAGAAAGAGACCTGAAAATAACTCGTACCCAACTGTGGTAAGAAAAGTGCTGTGTAATGCAACAGGTGAGAATCCCCGAACTCAAAGGACAGAGGCAAAAGCCGACCATGTGTCCCAAGCAACATTACACAAAGTAAACAAGGAGGATTTATATCTAGAAAAGCAAATAGAAGTCATGTGTATACAAGACGGTTCTACGCCAAATCCGCTTAACTGTCGCATACCTCAAGCTACTGAAGAAAGAAACGGGTGAGTATTCATGCTAAAGTCAATAGACGAAGCACCTGTGGATTTTTGTGTTATCAGACTGTTGAAACGGGTAATATGAAACTGTCATCTTTGTACACAAAATGGAATTTTGAAAAGCCTGTGAAGAGGAGTGGTGTGGTTTAGACATAACAGCTTTATATCGGAGCATTTTGCAATGGAGACCACGTTGAGGGCTGTTTTCAAAATGCACAGTCGTCAGATAGAACATGATAGAACGTGACAACATGGATTGAAACAACGTGGTGTGGCACCAAAATTGTTATGCTATAACGTATACAAACTGTATTTGTAAAAGTTATATTGGTTGTATGATATGTTTTGTTTTAATTAAATATAGGGATAAGAATTTCAGACGATTATTTGATAATGACAAATTAGCTATGCAATTCATAATTACAATTATGAGCTTCGAATTCTCCAAATACAACAGATTATCTCATGGAGATGTTGATTTAAATTTATATTGCAATTCTTTTTCGTTATTATCTAAACAAATATGCACCATTTTAACGTATATAACTGTAAGTTTATAAACACCAACTGTTAAACATTAAAATGGAACGATAAATTGTATGTTTTCTTTCAATATGTGAACTTCTCTTTTTTATCATGCTATATTCATCTATCATATATATATATAGTTTAATATAGAGAACATAATCAAAATATTGATATGAAAAATTATGTTTTTTGTAGGTATGTAACTATGTTATTGGAGGAAGAAATACAACGTCACGAAGCGAGTTTGGTTTGTTTTGAATTTCTTGCAAAGCCACACGAGGTCTATCTGCGTTAGCCGTCCCTAATATAGCAGTGATAGACTAGAGGGAAAGCATCTAGTTATCACCACCCACTGCCAACTCTTGGGCTACTCCTTTACCAACGAATAATGGGATTGACCGTCACATTATAACGCCCTCACAGCTGAAAGGGCGATCATGTTCGGTGAAGGGGATTCGAACCTGCGACCCGCATATTGCGAGTCAAGCGCCCTAACCACCAGGCCATCTCAGGCCTCACAAGTCGAGAGTGAAATTTGTTAGATCGCAAGTTTTGAAATTAGACATGGTGCCAGGTCTTGTATTTTCGTGTTGTTATTTGATCTCCATTTTTATGAAAGAAGAAAGAAATAGAGTACATATTAACAACTTACACATAAATTCATTTATGATATTAATTTTCTTATAACTAATTTGATTGTTTGACTTCTCTTTACGCTAATCATCATCATAGAGAATATATCATATTTCAATATATTTATGGTTCTTAGTAATAAATTGATCTGATCGTGCTATGAATGAAAGTAAGTTAGCTCACATAGTCAATACTTGTTATGACTTGCAAACTGCATATTTTTATGAAAGACCTAGAGCAGAACACAATAAATTGAGTTTAAAACATTTTTTTATGACTTTCAGAGAATATCAGATAACTGTAACTGTGGAGCATCTTCAGCGTCATATAGCTGGATTAAATTCGCAACCTGGTGAGACCCACTTTGAAGGTAATATTTATTTTCAATATCACATTTATACTTAACAACTCGTATTTTTACTGTTAATATTAAAAATTACTAGGTTTCAGATGAAGAAGCAGTAGAAACACGGGAGTTAATAAAAATTTTCAAACATTGTTGATGTGATATTTCAATAACTTGTCAAACTTGTATGTGTTATTGCACCACAACAGAGGTGTACTGAGAAAATAGGGTTGTCATTATATTACAGATATTTCTGTTATATAAGATTGATGAGGTGCATTGGGCAGTTCTATCACGTGACAATGGTTCACTTGGTCTATCTTTCCTAGCTTGGTAAGGCCATCAATCTCTTCACAAGTATAAGGAGATGAAAATAGTGTTGAATTGTGAAATTGTTTAAGTTTGGTCTACTAAACATTACGGAAAAACGTACAGCATTGAAATATTTGCTTTAGTGCCCAATAAAAAGGTTTTGAAAAAGGTAATATTATTTTCAACTTTTCAGCAAGACTAGAAGTAGTTGAATTTTGTTTGATATCAGGGAAGAACCTCTGAATGCATTTGATATTGCTAGATATCAAAAAGAGTAAATTTGAATTGCGCGATCAAGATAATTACCCTGAATAACTATTCACATTCCTTCTTCTAGACTGAACATACTAATATCATTTCGTAGTTAACTTTCTGATGTTTTAGTATAGCTTGATTTAAAATATTTTTGCTAACAAATGCCTTCCTATATCTTTAAAATATCTTTTATTTGTAAATATTCAGAACATTCTATGTAAGGCTAATCAGTAGGTAGCTTAAAGCTGCCTTAAGTAACAGAAGGATGTTAAACCCTTTTCGATGTGATTCAATATACGTTCTGTATGTAGGCTTAGTTCTCTTATGCGATGTTTTAGTTGCTTGACTAATTTTAGAGCTCAAGTTTTCTAGCTCTGGTGCTCAATAAACAAAACAGCAATTGTTATGATTTAAAATGAGGAAACTTAACAAAATATAAATAATAAAATTAAATACAAAATAAACTTAAGATGACACGTTAGAATTTATAGGATCGGCTTGGGTAATTATGTGTTTAAAGTTATCATGTTATTAGAGACTGGCGTTTAGCACAGAGTGATTTTACTGTAAAAAGCTTTAGACAAGAAACTGTCATTTAGCACACAGTAATTTTATCGTAGAAAGCTTTAGAATAGAAATAGCATTTCTGTATATCTAAGCGTATAAGAATTGTGGATCAGCTAACAGAACTTGGCTCTCTGAAATACGTTTATAAATGCATTCAAGAAAAAAGTCGTAACTTAAAAAATTTCCACACGAAAACAGTGCTTGTCTAGAAGCTCAAAAAATATGAGATGTTAAACATTAAATCTTAGAATAAAATCAAATGTATTGCATTCATAGATCAATCGAGCAAGCTTGACGTTCTATTGACTAGATTTCTTTATTTCATTCTGTTCCATCTTCTGATGATAAATCATCTGGTAAAGAATGCTGATGTTTAGATACGCTGTATGAATTTCTTATACATGTATTTATTTGTTAAACATGATTAATGACCAGTCAACACATAAACGTTCTCACAGGAAATTCTGTTCTGAAAGTAATGTGATTCATGGTCTATTTGAAACACCCGTGAATTCAAAATTATCTTGTAAGGGGGCGACACCTAGTGAATTTCATAAACAGTTAGATAATATACCCAATTTTGAGCCAATTCTCGCTAAAAGATACTTTTAGGTCTTGTCTTTTGTTAGAATTTTTAAATAAATAACTTGTAATTGAAGAACGTTTATTTTTATACTAAACAAATATGTCTAATTAGTCTGTTAAAAAATTACCACAGTATGAAATGAAGATCCAGTTATGTTCTTTATTGTTGTTAGTTTTGCTGTTGAATGCAGAGTTACGTGCAGAAGACATATTTAGCCTTTATGTTTACGCCCCCCCCGTCCCCACTGGCACAGCGGTATGTCTGCGGACTTACAACTCTAGAATCCGGGCTTTGATACCCGTGGTGGGTAGAGCACAGATAGCCCATTGTGTAGCTTTGCGCTTAATTACAAACAAACTTCATGTTTACGTTGTGCTTTAATACAACGGATCGTTTTTTTCATAGTAGAAGCTTTGTAATTTCATAAACAGAAAGTTGTGAACAACGAATAATAAAAAAATAGTATATTTAGTTTAGAAACTTGTTTTGAAATGAAATCAACAAATCCAGTCGGATTTTTTTCGAGATATCGTTACATATTCTTGCATATATATAATATCTATAATGCAAATGATCTTACTGAAAATAACCACTCTGCATCACACACACACACACACACACACAGTACCACATTTATCATTACAGAATGTTTTATTATTGTGACACTTTGTTCCCGTGGTGGTGCGTAGGAAGGTAGATCCCTCTAGCGTCAAATGATATAACCTCATCCCACATATTAAGCGAAGCAAAGTCGGAACAGCTGTGGCCGAATAGAGCGAGCTCGGCAGCAGAGCGAAGCAAAAATTGAGAGCGGTGGACTACTAGAACTCAGGCTACAGCCACTGTACCAACAGCTACCGCGTGCTTCACATTTTCGCAATTCATATCGGGTCCATTGCCTCTCCCAATAACTTTACCTAGGACGGAAATCTAGCTGAACATATTTATAATTGTTCTCATAGACAAAACACATTTTCGTCTTAATTTATAGACGGTGGATTTGTAATGAATATTATAACGTGAAAATGTTTTGACTGAATTAGTTTTTGAAACCAGGTATAGATAAGTATATCTATAAACAGGAATAGTCTGAGGATTTCACTGTGTGAAAATAGGCGTCACACGCAAAAATTTCAGAGATAGCAGTGAAAAGACACCAAATGATGTGTAGAACCAGAACAGTTTCTATGATCAGTTTCGAAGGTCTTTGTTTGGTAATGATGTTCATTACCCCAAACTGTCGGCTTGCTCGTCATACCGATTTAGTCGAGGGTAAGTTTCAGTAACATTTTCCCTTTTCAATTTTCTTTTTATTACATTTCCAAGTAAGTATAAGTTTATCAGTAGATTGTATTATATAGATGAATCAAATAATTCTGTGTTTTTTTTCTCTCTTCTTCTCGTGTTGTATGTATACAATGAATTGGTGTTTCTACGTCGCTTTCAAACATCACAGAAGTTGGAAACAAGTTCATCGTTTGTTTCTGTTTATATTCATATAAATGTATATGAAAACTATTTGATCAAAGGTCTTAAAATGTTTATATTTATAATAAATATAATGTGGAATTTAACAAAATTTGTTTCATTATAACTTATAGACACTTGGATTGAAATTGTAATTTGTCTTATGAAAATACGAAAAAAATTTTACAAAGTAAAATGATATACTTTTATTTTGCTTTCATAACGTGTTAAACATTATGTTTAAAAAGAAAAGCTTTTCCGTCCCCTTCTAAAAGTCACTAGTTATAAAATTTTCAATGAGATGCCTATCTATAAATAAAATTAATTGTAAAACAAGTAACAGTGACAAAACAAACTTCTGAAACTCATATTTGAAATGGTACAACAGGTTATAATGATAATTATTTCTAAATAGTGGTAATTTAATAAAAAGTATTAATTTGGACCAAAATGTGCTATTACATAGAAGACTTGTTGCTTCTTTTAAGTTGTTTTTCTTTTCGTATTATTTTCGTTGTTAACATGGTTTCACCAACGTGATCAGCTGTATGAAGGTACGTGTATTTTGGTAAATTTACCTTAAAAGTGTGAGTCGATCGTACAGAACTTGTTATGTTTTAGTGGCAACTTTGAACAAGAGGAAACCAGTTAGATAACTTTCTCGTACTTTATGTATAAGTTTAATATTCGATCTCACGCTTCGAAAAACGCAATGAAACTCTCAAAATGTTGTTTTTGGCGTAGATGAAAAGGAAAAAAATTTGCTCAGTGCCTTTCCATTCTGAACTTGATTTGCATTGTAAAAATGTTTTTCAACATGTTCATAATATGTAATACAACCCGAGAAGTTAGTAGAAACAACAATAAATGTTATTCAGCTATTTCTTATGACTTTCTCTGGTTGAAGTCTGATCAATCAGATTGTATTCTAACATTTATGGACGACTTATCTTTCTGATTGATCGTTTTATCTTCAACAGTCGCCCCGCATCGTCACTGCATCCACAATGTTTGTATTTCAAGGACAAATCACTCTTTCCAACTTTGCATCTGCAACTGAGATTAGGGTGAACATGACTTTCGGGTACATTTTCCAGTGTATATTGACTAGTTTAGCATTGAAAACAGGTCTTTTATAGGTAAATTACTTTGTAGTAGGTAATGGACTTCCATCAAAATCTTGGTATAAATGAGGTGGGGACTAAATTCCTCTTCATAGTTTATCTCAAGAGGTGAACCGATGATCACAAAAATTGTATTGTTCGAAAAATGTAATAACTAAAATATAGTTTAAAGGCTATTTTAGTGCTTTTTTGATTTGTAAGATATTGTGTGGACTAAAAGAGCCAGTGATTAATTTCTGTATGACCAAGTCCCGATTTTAGGGTTACAAAGAAATAAAACAAATTTATAATTCCAAACGTAGACTATAGACAAACACACACACACACACAACAACACCCAGAAACTTTAGCAAAGCTTAAGAGTATGTGTTAACTTAGCACCAGTCAATATGATAACAGTATTGGTTTATATGTTATAAAGGGGAAAAAGTTGAGAAACTCGCATACAAACGTATAATGAATGAAAATTCTGGATATTAGTTCACCTGGTTAGAAAAATAAAACGTTATTATTGGTGTTCTTAGTGTGAAGCTACACAGTGGGATATCTGTGCTTTGTTTACCGCGGGGAGTCAAATCCCGTATTTTAGCGTTGTAAGTCCGTAAACTTACAGCTGATCAAGTGAATACAAAAGGAAAAGCGTATATATGCATATATATGAATGTGAAAGTTAAGAATTAAAATTTTTTATTATTCTGAAATTCTTCCTTGCTATTTAATGTAAAATAATTTATTTCATGTCGATTATATTCAAAAATAATTTGTATATTTGCGTGTTGTTAAGCATAAAACAACGCAATGAGCTATCTATTCTGAGCCCATCACGTTTATCAAAATCCGGTTTTTAGCGTTATAAACTTTCAAAATTTCCACTGAGCCACTGGGGGGCTTTTGGAAATGACATTTTATCTAAAAGAATGACTTAATTGTAGTGAGAGAAATTATTCAATTAAATACAAATGAAATATCAAAAGGTTAAAAAGTTTTCAACATTATGATAAAGAACACTTTTAAGTCACACTCTGTTCTGGTTTAATAGTACACATCAAGGAAATGGTTAATGTATTGTTTCACAAAAACCTTAAGTTTCTCAAGTCGTCATCTTCCTGTCAACATCAAATGTTGACCAGACAAACTACTTAAGAGAGAAAATAAAATGTGATGCTATACATAATTCCCCGAAAAAAAAAAAAGGTTTAACGACGAACGTTTAACCATTATATTCTTTGTTTCATATAATAAAAAAATTCTTAAGCCAACTTTGAAAGAAGTGAAAATGCGAAACTTCCGTCAATAATCCAAAAGTAAAGATCTTTACTCAGATTGATTGCTACCTATGGTTTAGGTAATTTCTAAACTCTTTACTGAATCACAAATCTGATAGCTCTTCTGAGCTTCGTTTAGATACCGTGATAAAAGCTCTGCTCCTTTGTGACATTTTTTTTTTTACGATTCTTCAGCTGGAAATGGTGTTGAAGGTTCACGTTTCGACGTTCCTCACAAATTAAGATGAAAGACCGACTCACCTTTTTTTTTTCTAAAAAGAAAAAAAAATCTGGTAAAATAAAATACTTGTTACAAACAATTGTCTTACATTTATGGAAGCGAGTTTGTTCATCTGTATAGAAACAAGCAAGCTTGTAGTCTTTAGCTATTTCTGATTTTTTGTTACTAGCAAATTTCAGGAAATTGAGAAACTAATATAGACTGGCATGCTGAGAAGATAATATTCTAGCATAGTTTAGCTTCAAACAATGTGACATGTCTTATCTCTGCAAAAAACAGCATTTTTGGGTTAAAACAATTTCACTAAAAGCTACCACGACGGAAGAATCGCTGTATAAGTTTTATGGACGTATCGTTCGTGGCACGGGAGAGAAAGTTCGACATGGATGTTACTATCTCTCTAAATGTTATGGGATTCTTGTCTCGTACATACTCGCATTATTTTGCGGTGTACCTCTCGTATAGTAAGTTGATGGGATAAAAACGTCGTTTTCTCTCGTAGAAATATTCCATACTTTTGGACTCTCATAAAATCTTCCTGATGCTGGGAGAGAGTATGTGAAAATAAAATATTTCATTGGCAATAGTCTATTTAATAAAGGACGTAATAACCAAAAAAAAAAAAAAGATGTACAGTAAAAGTAAAGGTATGATGAACAACAACTTGGAAGTTTTAATGAGTTTTAAAATATACTGTAGACATATACCAGTTATTTTATTTTATTAAAATAATTTTATTCATTCCAAACCCTTCCTTTTGGTCAGATATCTTACTAGGTCCAGAAAGATAAAACTAATCTTATCGGCTTCATAACTGTTCTTTAGGTATGATTTTGACCTGAATAACGCACTTGGGAAAAACGAGAACTGATTCCTTTTGGCAGCGAAACAAAGTTTATTTTGAGACTTTTAAAACACAGATCACAATAGAAATTAGCAAATCATACATAGGAATGCAATAGAAAATATTTTATAAATCAGAAAAATAATACCAATTTCTGTGCTCGTCAAATAAAACTAGTTAACAAAAAAAGGGGAAAGAATCAAGTCATGTTTAGATTTAGGTTTTGGGGCCGGGCGTAGCCAATGATTAATATTTCTGGACTTTGAATCCGCGCATTCACAGTTTGCTTCCTGATGACGAAAAATGCGCTTCACACTATGGGGATGGATGGTGGGTGTATAATAAGAGAAACGGTTGTATTCTACCATTCTGTCAGACAAGCGTATCTGAAGTGTTGGCGGTGGGTGCTGTTAGCTAGCTGCATTTTGTCTAATCTGTCATTTCAGAATTAGTGTCCTTCGTCCCGTTTGGTTCGATAGTGATTTCCTCTTTAAGTTGTTTGGTTGGTTGATTGTTGTTGATTTTAGAGTCGTAAGCCAGGAGACTTACCGCTGAGCCTCGAGTGACATTCCGTTTAAGTTTGTCACTAATATACACAACTAATAAAAATCGATATTAATAACTGTTGGAAATTAATTTTGGACCTGATCTTTAAATAACATAAATAGGCACAAACAATGGGGCGTAAATTAGAACCTATTAACAACAAAAAAGGATTGTAATGCCTACAATAAGTGCTTGAGTATAGGTACTTCTACTTCTCGAGCTATTTCATAATGATTACGAATTATATGAAAAATTTGCTTGCATAAGGGTATGCTGAAATCTTCTCTTGGATAAATTCTTTTATACCCACGCAGAAACCCCATAGGGATCAAGTTTATAGGTCTCACTCAAAGTACCCATAGGTCATGTTTAGATTTCTACCTTGCACTTATAGTTAATATATTCTTGTTTGTTTATTTGTTTATTTGGAATTAAGCACAAAGCTACACAATGGGCTATCTGTGCTCTGCCCACCACGGGTATCGAAACCCGGTTTCTAGCGTTGTAAGTCCGCAGACATACCGCTGTGCCATTGGGGGGCATAATGTATTCTAAAGCAAAAAGTACCATTGTCCATCTTTATAGTTTCTTCAAACACTCTGTTTAGCTTTAAAACGTAGATTTTTTTTCTCATGTGAGATGCTTTGTAACTAAATGGCTTTAGACAAGATTTAGCTTTATATATATATCCTGTTTTTAACGTAGTATAAAAAACGATTCTAAACGTATTCGTTCATCGGTAAAATGCATACGTGCATTGGACGCCTGTGCTATGCTACGAACAT